CATACACGCGAAACTACCATTAGTCTTTTTCTTTCAAGGCCATGAATCGGATTCGAATAAATGTTAGTTCATATACATCTAATCTCAGTAACCAAAAACCTGGTTGGCAACGGTTTGACAGCCATGTTATTCATGTTAAAATAACAGGTAATGTCCGAAATGGGTATGCCCCGGGGAATGATGATGTTAATTTAATATTTATGTTTTTAGTGAAAGCCAGAGTGAAATAATAGAAAAATACATAAAAAATGGGAAAGTAAAGTATCAGCCAATACATGTCCCACTAATGGGCAAAGGCCTCCTCTGTACAGAGGACATCAGGGCATAGACCACCACGCGGCCCCACTGCGGATTAGCGGACTTCACATAATTATCTTCGAAATATTTTTTTCTTATTATTTCGTAAATATGCAGGTTTCCTCACGACGTTTTCCTTCACTGCTGAGCACGTGATAATTCGGCACTTAAAATTAACAATTTCATTGGTGCCGGCCGGGGATCGAACTCCGGTTGCTCGAGTATATTGAATTAAAGGTGAGCGACCGGACAGAGCTATCACGACTAAATGGAAAGAATTAAAAATTACCTTAGTCGACGTACTCATATTACATACATGAGCGTCATAAGACGAGTGTTAAATTTGCTCCAAGTTTATGCAGGAGTTGGAGGTAAGTGATATTTAGGTCAAACCCAACGCCAATTTATAGGTCTATAGCCCTTACATTCTCGCATTGACGTACCACATCATATCTAATCGTACCATATCGGCAAAGCAGCAGTCCTAACGCAGTAAAACAGAAAGCCAATCTATTTAGATAACTTCCATCATCTTTATCGTTGTACATCACGTATTTTTGTAATGAAGGTGGTCACTGTTCTCGTAAGACAATGGTCACATGGTGCTCTGAGAAAAGAGACGTGCACTAAAGTTATCTAAAGTTATCACTATTAGTAGTCATCACAAGGTCAAATGGGTATGTAACAATTCACATCAGCCCCTTTTTGAATCTCGGGATACACTCGTACCAAAATTCCACTTTCTTTGTTAGAATAATAAGGCTTCCCCATGTTAAAAACTTATATACTTGTCTTGTTTCATCACAGTGTCCACTCTAAATACAATTTCTCTTTATAGATTTCACCTGGTCAATCATATATAGGATTTACAATGGTCATTTAGAAAAGGAAAGAAACGGAACTTTCACAAATTCATTATTTTATAAAGTTTTGTAAACATTTATTTTTTTACCAGCCGAACCGAGTGTCCTACTTTTCTCTGGTGCTATCTGAGAAAAGTAGGTCCCGGACCCGGAAGAAGTCACGGATGAAAAATAAGTGCTATCTGAGAAAAGTAGGTCCCGGACCCGGAAGAAGTCACGGATGAAAAATAAGTGCTATCTGAGAAAAGTAGGTCCCGGTCCCGGAAGAAGTCACGGATGAAAAATAAGTGCTATCTGAGAAAAGTAGGTCCCGGACCCGGGAAGAAGTCACGGATGAAAAATGAAAAATAAGTGCTATCTGAGAAAAGTAGGTCCCGGTCCCGGAAGAAGTCACGGATGAAAAATAAGTGCTATCTGAGAAAAGTAGGTCCCGGACCCGGAAGAAGTCACGGATGAAAAATAAGTGCTATCTGAGAAAAGTAGGTCCCGGACCCGGAAGAAGTCACGGATGAAAAATAAGTGCTATCTGAGAAAAGTAGGTCCCGGACCCGGAAGAAGTCACGGATGAAAAATAAGTGCTATCTGAGAAAAGTAGGTCCCGGTCCCGGAAGGTCCCGGACCCGGAAGAAGTCACGGATGAAAAATAAGTGCTATCTGAGAAAAGTAGGTCCCGGACCCGGAAGAAGTCACGGATGAAAAATAAGTGCTATCTGAGAAAAGTAGGTCCCGGACCCGGAAGAAGTCACGGATGAAAAATAAGTGCTATCTGAGAAAAAAAGTGCTATAGGTCCCGGACCCGGAAGAAGTCACGGATGAAAAATAAGTGCTATCTGAGAAAAGTAGGTCCCGGTCCCGGAAGAAGTCACGGATGAAAAATAAGCCGTGGTCACGGAAGAGGTCCCGGTCCCGGAAGAAGTCACGGATGAAAAATAAGCCGTGGTCACGGAAGATTGAGTCTTCGTGATTCATCGTCTTTACGCAAATCTCCACAAAATTCTTATACAATAATCTAAGTGAAGTTTTTTATTGTTATGTATCGAATTATAAGAAAACCAATCAAGAAAATGTTTATCATCATAAGGCTTATCAGATTGCGGGATAGGTTTCTTGAAAAGTCGCTACTTAGCCCACCACCTAGCTTCTTGCCATTTCGCTTCCAAAAATTGCCATACATTACCACTCTATAGTGTCGAAAATTTACTAGATTTTACACCCCACTCAAGAAAGCATACGTAAAATTTGGAAAAACAAAAATTTTCGACTGACCATAATTTCGAGATCGGAATGAAGTGAAATATAAATTCGGACATAACATCAAGCTACTGTGGCACTAAAATCTACGACACTGAAATCCTTAACGTTTCGGACCCAGAAGCGACTAAAGTAACTCCTTGATTTATTTAAGTTGATGTCTTTATGGCCAACTTATATCTAGAGAAGCTGGGTCATAACGATAGCACAGAGGAAAGGAAATTGCATTTTATAATGTGTTGTTAACTTAACAGCGACTTCAGAATTACTGAATATGGAACGTAATTTATTTCAGGGCAATACAGATGGATTGAACGTACCTATGTACCTATGGAGGAAAGACTCCCTGTGTTATGATTCATAATTATAATATGAGTTGAAAGGAAATTAAAATTTAAGTCGGCTGTTAAAAGTATGAAATGGTCAGAGTTTTTCAAACGACCTTTTAATTTTTTTTTATTTTTTTTAGTGCTAATGTCGGCATTTAATAAGAAACAATAATATTAATATAAAAACTGTACAAATCGCATTAAAATAAACGATGTATGGTGACCATAGTGCAATGTTTTTTAAAGAGTTTTTTTTTTAATAAGCGATTATATGCCTACATGACATGTGTTGTGTGCAACTTCCGGGCAAAGATAAGGCGCCTTAATTTTTTTTTATAGATATGGTATTAAAAATTTCAAAGTTGACTGGATTATAAGTAAGCAATGCCCCAAAAAATCTGTATCTCCAAAGAGGCTTTAATTGCTTTACCAGATCCTAAAGTTTTACTGACGCATTACTCGGGAAACCAAAAGAGAAATAAATATATTACACCAGTTTTTTTGCGTAGCAGTTCTTCGAAATTCGAGTGTTAACGAAGGTCCAACCATATTTGTTTTTACAAAATTTATTGAGTCATTTTGTCGTAGCTAATGAAGCTATTTACATTATGATTTGTTAAAAAAATAATTGGTTGACTCTGTTAGCATTAATATTGGCGATAAAGCTTCGAAAACAAAATGTAGCAAAGCAATAATTCATGACAACGAATTTATCATAACATCATTTTCTGATTTAACGTGATCAATAACCTCTAACGTCTTGAAACTAAGTATTTTACCATATGCAGCATACATATATAGCTAATAATTTTATTTAAATTTGAATCTCGTTTGGATTCTTTTAAACTAAACTCGTTTAAGGTTGGATCATATTAGAATTACATAAATAAAACATTTCGCTTATTCCATTCGGTTTACATTCATTCGAGAAAATATTTGTGCGGGAAATTGGATTTTTCTATGTTCGCATATAAATTGAACCTTCGACCCTAAACAAATCTTTTTATTTGTCTATTTCAAATTCGTAGGTATGATTTTGGGACAGTTTGTACGCAGCACTTGGTGTTGTGTTATATGTACCTTCCTTCAAGAACTCATTGCTTTATGTCGGTGGATATAACAGACGCTAAATGCATCTGAATAAGGTATCTATATATAGGCATCTGGAAAAGTTATTGGTGCATTCGCTGTATAAAATCCTAGTACCCTCAGTTTTGTTGTACGGTTTGGAATATGATTTGCGTAAAATTTCTGCCAGCAACTGGAGACTAAGGGCGCTAGATTGAGCCGTGGTAGCTTTTTAGAAGAGGCCGAATTCCAGCAGTGGCCAACCAAGTGCCGATGATGATGTACTGGAAACGAACCCGTGACCTACTGTACCAAATCCTATTAACTACCGCAACCTTTTACAACACTCCTAACACCAACCAGGCGATCGTGAATTATTCATTCATAGCCACCATTTCCCAGGTAACATGAGGTCGAACGAAATTCTATACTCTCAATGCTGTTTTCTTACGTTTTAAACATTAATTCATATTTTTGAATTATATCGAAGGCATTTAAAACACATTAGTTTATGTAATAAGTAAAATATTTTTTACTGCCCTTATTGTATGATAACAGTTATTATCCTGTGTGCCTTTTGCAAACAAAAATATCACATGGACAAACACCGAGATCCGAAACAGTTATCTGTGGACCACACAAATACTTGTCCCGTGTGGGAATCGAACTCACGATCCCGGTCGCCTAAGCCACGGAGTCATCAACACCAAAAATATAGAGTAATTTTTAATATTCGACCTAGGAATAATTATTAGTCATCTCTAAAGTTATAGATATTTCTATATTTAACATTGTCATTATTTTTAGTAATATTTAATTATTCCTTTTTTTTAACGTTTTTTTTTTAAATATTGCCCTTACTTTAGGATAACATTATTATCCTGTGTTGTAAGGACGTGTTTACAAACATAAATTTCACGCGGACAAACACTCAGATGCGAAACAACTACCTGTGGGTCACACGAATAGATGTCCCGCGTTGGAATCGAACCCACGACCCCCGACGCCACTACCTTGGCCTCTGCAGCACGGAGTCTTAAAATTCATCATCATTTTAATACTGATATCCTAATTCGACCTGATATAGCTTAATCATTTCAGTATTCTCATTCAAATGTTGCTTTTTTACAGGTATCCTTGGAAGTAATAAAAGTTTTAAAGATGCAAGTGACCTAAGTTAACGTGATTTAAAATGAAGATCCCCTACGTGATTCTGACACTGACTTGTGTCATATCTTTTTCACGCACACATGCCAAAATAGGTAAGTATTTAATCGTATAATTTTATTTTTTACTTTACTTAACATTATCCAAGTAACCCATAATGTCAATTTATTGAAATGTCAATTTCGACGACCCGAATGGCGTAGTGGGTAGTGTAACTGCCTCCTGCGCCAGAGGGTGTGGGCAGACGGTTCACCTGATGTTAAGTGAATACCGCTGCCCATGGACATCTGCCACACCCGAGGGTTACAGATGCGTTGGCAAGCTTTTGAAAATTGGGCTCCGGCTACCTGACGAAAGGCGAAAGTATTTGTCATACTTCCACTTTACGCTGGTCTTCTGTGAGGTCGTGGTACTTACCCGGACGGGCCTGCCCATTCGTGCAACAGCCGAAGCTGCTGCGTGGCCCTACCACCGTAAAAGAAGTGAACGGAAAAGCAATGCTAGGCGCCGTCTAATGTGACCTTTCAAATAAGACTTTTAAAATTGTTCGAACGAAAAGTTTTCGGCAATAATTTATCTACAAAAAAATAAGTTTGTTTTAATAGTAATTACCACATATACACACACCAACATCATAAAATCTAAATATCGCACAGTTTGAAATCCTTATTATTATTATTATTATTTTATAAATGTTACATTAGTCGATAAATTTCTTGTTTGAATGGTTGGTTGGTTTCTTACGTAGATACATGCATGAAATTTTCAATTTAGAAATGTGATAAGGTGCAGAAGGCCCGAACATAATTATAATCAACTTACGTATAAAGTCAAAAACGTTTAGCCTCTGATACAATTTTATATATTATTATCGTGGATATGAAGTGAATTAATTGCACTTTTCACGGAATGTAACTCCAGACTGCGAAACGTTTTTCATGTGTAATGAAAACTGAAAACTGAATCAAAAGCTCTTTTAGCGAGATATTAGACTTTTCGTTATCAAATCAAATCAAATCGTTATTCAACACACTAGCCGCTAGGTTGTCACTGCTGTTGCAATTAATTTATTACAAATTATTGCCTGGCGTGATGTCATTTATTTCTGTTATTTGTATGATTTATCTTCTTATCCAACTGAAAGAAACTTGGAGTCACTATTTCAAAAAGGTAGCCGTATTTATAACATATTTCTTACAATTATCATTAATAATTCTTTACAAACGTCTTAAGCGAAGTTACCGTTCCTAAAAAGGCTTTATCCCTAAATTTGATACGGCCTACACACATAATGCTATGCATCTTTTAACTATTAATTTATTTTAATTTATTTTTAAAGAAAATTAATTACTTTAATTTTAAAGAACTATAAGAACTCATGATCTGTGTTTGTGGATTCCAATTCTAATGGAATACCTTGGAAATATAAACAGTAATTTAATTGATATAATGCAGTCTAAAGAAACAAGTAATCAAGCTATAAACACTTAATTTTTATACTTCTATAAGGCTTATATATATTCTATAAGGCTATAGCTTAGCTCTAAAAGTCGTCAGGTTACATAGTCTATAACGTTGTCACTAAATAAGTTATAAAGTACAAAAAGATTTTTCTAAGTCTGAATATTAATTTCGGAGAAGAGCGCTTTTATTCGCGCCTGATGATATCAAAACGTCAAAAATAATTTTTACAGTGCAGTCAAAAATGTAACTAGAGGACGTTTGGGAAAATCATGCCATAAATATAAAAAAGGTTACAATGATTATGAAGATAATATTTTTTTAAAGAAATAGACTATACGCAGATATAGTCGAAGGGTCGCGGAATGGAAAAAAATGTGTTACATTTTATCTGGGCTGCCGAAACGGGGCAAATAGTTGCGTAAAAACTAGTAAACCGGGAAGATTATGACAAATTATTCTCCTTTTACTTGACAAAAATACCTCCTTCCCCCGGGAAATAGCACATGTAACGCAAACGATACTTAGAACGGTAACGAATCACACAAAGGTAGTTTTTTTTTTAATCTGAAAAAGTGGCAAACGAACTGCCGGTTCAAATGAACTTAAGTGATAACCGCCGCCTAAGGACATTTGCAACACCGGTTGCAGATGTGTTGCCACCTTTTAATAAGGTGTGCCCCGGCTACCTCACTCACCAGACACCGTGTTCCAATATTGTTAATTCAAATTCTTAGGCTTATAGGAGCCTACTGCTTAACTATTTTGTCGCCAGTATTGCTTCACAAAACCTATAATTCTCAAAACATGCCATTTGAAATACATATCTATAAATATATAAAAGTAACGAAGAAGTCTACAAGAAAAGGAAAAGTTTGACAAAGGCAAAGAAAAAGGGAAACCACAAAATAAAATATGACTATTTTCGCCACCCATAATACAATTGTTTCACCAGAAATTCCGCAGAGTGCTGTATCCACAACATTTGTATATTTGTCTCACTCTTACACTATTGAAGAATCATCGCCTCGTCGCTATTTTACGAAACTGCACATATAACTGCTCATATCGATTTCATTTTTTCTATGTGCTCTCCAAGCAGTAAGCAACCAGACAGACTTAACCTTATTTGCCTGTACGACCAGGAGCGTAATATTTAGTAAGTTGACAAAAGATTTGTAATAATACTTAAAAATCAATTAGAACTGTAATACTATAAAATAAAGTTTCAGTGTTAGTGGACGGGTTCCGGGAAGGCAAAACAAGTGTGACTGTGGTAAAATGTCACTTGTATGTTCCTAAGTATGCTTAGACCTTTTAAACTACGCAACGGATCTTGATGCGGTTTTTTTAATAGATAGAGTGATACAAGAGGAAGGTTCATGTGTATAATACATTGCACCCGTGCGAAGCCGGGACGGGTCGCGAGTAATCTTATAAGATTCTGCTAAACTGTTTATAAGCTCTCCGTGAAAAGAAAGTTTTGGAATAGAATGCGCTAATATTTCTCCCATCTATCGGAGCAAGTAACTTTAGCTAATCAGTGGTACATAATTATCTTCCAGATTTTAAAATAAGCTGAGGGTGCGGTTTAGCCCTGTGGCGATGTGATAGGTATCAGTTACATTTTCGTTAATTAAGGTAAATAGTTTTGAGAATCTTGTACGTTTTTTCTAGTCGAATCGTTTGAAAAAATCCTTTTAAGAAACTAAGCATATCCATAGTCCAAGTATAGAACAGATGAACATGAACATATTGTAAAAACTTGCCCTCCTTGTGCTGCATATATTTTTTTCTCCTAAAGTAATGACATTATTGACTTGACTTATGAACTGAATAAGCGATTCGCATAATAATATTTCCAATATTAATAATTTTCCTCAGGAATTCATGCGTGACCTTAAATTTGTGGTGTATTTATGATAAAATTATTGTCTACACAAGATGTCTCTTTATCTCCAGTGGATTCTGATTTCCCCGTACTGATCCACTTAAAAATACCGCTATATCTATATTGCCTTCTGGCGGTGTATCAAGAAACGTGTACCGGATTTAAAGTACACGTAACGATACTAACTTTAAAGCCCTTCTAAGAGAATCTAACTTAATTCATAAAGTGCTAGGCACAATGGAAGACATTTCATAAATGACAAAAGCATTTATGAAAAACATTTTTTTTATATGATAAAGTGGCAAACGAGCTGGCGGTCACCCGATGTTACGAAATAATCGACACTCAAGGATATTTGCAACACCCGTAGGGTTGCAAATGTGTTGCCGCCTTTAAATAAAGTGGGCCCAGGCTACCTCACTCACCATCACACACACACACACACATCAAAACTGAATATTAAAAAAAAACCTATGAAAACCGCAATGATTTTTTGTGCTATAGTTTTTTCGTGATGGATACGTAAACATAAGGACAGACGGATATACAGACGAACATATAAAAACCTATTCTAATTATTTTGGCTTCTGTTGCTCTTGGAAAGACTGTGCTGATATATTCGAAATTAATCTATACATAGAACATTAATTTACAATTCCAAAAAATGTTTTTCCTCAATTTGTCTTTTATATTGTTTTCTTATTATTATTGTCAGTAAAGTTTAAAGAATTAGAGGAGTTATGGTATATTTTTTTCACACAAAGGCCTTCGAAAGTTGATGGTCCGTGTTCAATCTTAGGATAAAAAATGATTTCATTTCACGCTAGGTTGGCGCCTTGGCATTTGATACTTTGTTACATCTAGTTAACAAGCGCTGAATGTTCAATGTTGTACGAGCCGTTAAATAAATAGAAATTGAAAAAATTAATTTAAGGCTTGAATAAAGTAAAACATTGTATCTAAGTCAGATTTCAATTACTAACATGCTAGGTTGTGCTTGTTTCTTTGTTTTTTATTATTGTTGTTTCTAGCCATGGCTTTCGGAAACCCCACCGATGGGCTTCAGTAATCACTTAGCATCAAGTAAAACCCCTGTTCGTTTATCATTTTGTTTTATAGCTTCAAATGGACTTATTTCGTTCTTAAATATATAGCAGTGAATTAAGTTGGTTTACCATATACTCGTAAAATAACACAACAGATAGATAAAAAACATTATAATATGTTACGTTTTAGGTTTTCGTTTTATTTATTTATTTTTTTTCAAACTTCAGCAAAACAGTACATAGGTGAACTTAGTGCTAACAGCATTTTCTATCAGTCGACCTTAGGATGGTACCGAGAAGTTAAGGTAGGGGCACATAGTTATAAGAGAAAAAAATACATAATTATTAAATATACATATATAACACATAATATTATTCTATCGTGCAATACTTTTAAACGATACCATAAGTATAACTTTACATATACATATATACTTAATATACATATATACAGACATATATAAATAAATATATATTATATACATTTACATACACATTTATATCTGTCGATGTCATGAAACTGCTGGCAATTTCCCCAGAATGTACTTGCGTGCCATTTTCTTAAAAGCAAAGCGATTCTTAGCCATTCTAATTTTGAGAGGGAGCTCATTCTAAAGAAGGATAGATTGGACAAAGAATGGATAAAATCAGATCGATAAGGAGGACATAACAGAAGACGATTATTTTTAGAGCGAAG